GCTCTTTAAAGGGCAATCTTTTTTTTTTTTTTTTTGCTCAACACGTTTTTTCGGGGGCAGGGGCGTGAGGGTTTCTCAAAAATCAAATGGGGTGTGCAAGGTGATCCCATCCCCCCCCCGTCTGTTCCACCCCCACCCCCAGAAAGAGCCCAATCCATGCATCCACTCCCAGCTGGCTAAGGCAGATTTCAAAATGGCCACCTTAAAAGGGCAATGCCTGGTCTGCTCTTAAAAGGGCAATCTTTTTTCTTTTTGCTCAACAAGTTTTTTTGTGGGGGAGGGCGTGAGGGTTTCTCAAAAATCAAACAGGGGGTGTGCAAGGTGACCCAGTCTGTCCCCCCCGGTCAATTCCACCCCTTCCCCCAGAAAGAGCCCAATCTGTGCATCAACTCCAGCTGGCTAGGGCAGATTTCAAAATGGCCACCTTAAAAGGGCAATGCCTGGTCTGCTCTTAAAAGGGCAATCTTTTTTCTTTTTGCTCAACAAGTTTTTTTGTGGGGGAGGGCGTGAGGGTTTCTCAAAAATCAAACAGGGGGTGTGCAAGGTGACCCAGTCTGTCCCCCCCGGTCAATTCCACCCCTTCCCCCAGAAAGAGCCCAATCTGTGCATCAACTCCAGCTGGCTAGGGCAGATTTCAAAATGGCCACCTTAAAAGGGCAACGCCTGCTCTGCTCTTAAAAGGGCAATCTTTTTTTTTTTTTTTTTTTTGGCTCAACAAGTTTTGGGGGGAGTATGAGGGTTTCTCAAAAATCACACAGGGGTGGGATGCTGAGAACTGTGGGAAGCACTGCCCTATGGGCCCCTGTCCTGCCCCGAGGGGTGCTGCAGCCGGGTCCCGCTGAGTCCTAACAGCTCCTGTGTCTGGCCCGGCAGAAGTACCTCCAGAAGCTGTGGAACACTATCCTGTTTGTCGCCCTCCTCCTCTGCACGGGCGTGATCGTGCAGGCCCAGCGGCAGTCCCGGCAGGAGCAGGACACCGAGGTGGGCCCGCTCCCCTGTTCCCCGCCCGTGGGGGGCCGGTGTGGCCGGGACTGACTCTGTGCTCTGCCTCCCCAGCGGGAGCTCAAGCAGCACATCCTGCGGCGGCTGGCGGCGCTTAAGACCCGGCGCTACCACCCGGGCAAGCAGCCCCGGAGCCAGGCCCGGGAGATGGACAGCTGCGCCGTCTGCTTGGACCAGTTCCACAAGAACCAGGTAATGCAGGCGGGCGGGCTCGGGGCCTAGGACAGCTGGTGCGCGAAGCCTGCGAGCCAGGGCCTGCAAAGTCACAGCCCCGTCGGCGCGATCGCCCCAGAACCGTGGCTGCCCGGGGGTGGGGAGCGATCCACTGGGTGTGTGGGTGGTTTCTCCAGAGCGAGTCCGGTGCTGCCCAGCTGATTCGCAGCACGCGTGTGGTTCCTGGCGGTGCACCGTGGTGCACGCACAAAATTATTCCGCACATCCGTAGGCACAATTAGAGGGGACACTGGCGCAATCCTCCATCCCTGCCCTCCGCGAGGTCTGCCCCGTTCAGATCCGGGTAGGGAGGTGCCCTCTCGTGGCCTGGGGCGTCCCCGAGGCGGGCGTGGCCCAGCTGATTCGCAGCACGCGTGTGGTTCCTGGCGGTGCACCGTGGTGCACGCACAAAATTATTCCGCACATCCGTAGGCACAATTAGAGGGGACACTGGCGCAATCCTCCATCCCTGCCCTCCGCGAGGTCTGCCCCGTTCAGATCCGGGTAGGGAGGTGCCCTCTCGTGGCCTGGGGCGTCCCCGAGGCGGGCGTGTGGTCCTGACGCTGGCCGTTTCCCCCTCAGTGTGCGACGATTTCCGCCGGGACTGCGTGGATCGGTGGCTGCTCCTCCAACAGACCTGCCCCTTGTGCAAGCACAACGTCCTCGGTGAGCACACGGTGGCGGGGGGGGAGGTTGGTTTGTACCTGTTGGCTGAACTCTACCCAGAAACCATGGGACAGACCCACTAAACCAGCTGGGCTTGAAAGAGGAGGCCAGGTCTCCCAAGCCCCACCAGGGGGCAGAGCTCCACAGGTTTGCGGTATGGGGTTGGGTGGGGGGTTTGGACCCCTTGGCTGCCCCTCGCCCGTTTGACTCGCCGGTGACTCCCCCTTTGATCTCCCTTGCAGGTAGCTGCTGCGGCGGGAGCTAGCGGCCTGCGGACCCGCCGGGGGCGCCGTCGGCGTGTGGGTCTCGGGGCCGGGCAGACCCCCAGGCATGGGGAAGTCCGGTCTGGCAGGGACGGATCCACCTCCTGCCTGCTGTCAAATCTACGCCCGCCCCCTGGCGCTCAGCGCGGGCCGGGCTTGGCCTCGGGGCAGCCTGATCCGTGGGGATGAGTTCGGCGGAGGTGAGGGGGGAAGTGGGGGCCCCCCCCAGCAACGTCGGAAGGGTTAACCGGGCAACACGAGGCTGATCCGCCCGGCGAGCGCAGGCCGACTTCCCCAGACGCATCGCCCCTCCCGGTTTGACCGCTCTCTTTCCTTTTCTCAAGCTCTCTTTTCGCTAGGCCTCGGGGCAGCCTGATCCGTGGGGATGAGTTCGGCGGAGGTGAGGGGGGAAGTGGGGGCCCCCCCCAGCAACGTCGGAAGGGTTAACCGGGCAACACGAGGCTGATCCGCCCGGCGAGCGCAGGCCGACTTCCCCAGACGCATCGCCCCTCCCGGTTTGACCGCTCTCTTTCCTTTTCTCAAGCTCTCTTTTCGCTACCCGCCGGCGCGGCTTTCTGGGGGCCCGCTTGTTCACAGCGGGCGGGATTCTCCCTCGCCCCAGAAGCAGCCGCCTTCCCCGC